TATAAAAGCTTCCAGCAGTGTAGAACAAGATTATGGGTGGGAAATTTATTGTTGGGAAAGTAATTTGTTAGATTGTTCCATTTTATACTATGGTTATTTACTTGTATTGTGATAAGGGATCTGCTAAACCTGTCAACATTTTTCGTGAAACTATAGTTCTCTTCAAGTGGTGAAACCAAGATGAAACCACTTTAGATTTTGATAGTTTTTAGTAACTACTATGTGAATGAGTCTCAACTTGCTGACGCTAGGAGTACATTGGTATATATACTTACCATTGTAATTTTGTTTTATTTATTATGTGTATGCTCAGATGACTCCAGAAGTGCTTTGTCCATTATTAGGCCTACCTAATATCAGATTTTTAACCCCATTATTTGAATTTTTGCAAGGAAAAGCTTTTATTTCTAGTGCTATTGTTAATATGGTTATAATGATGATATTAGTATAATGATGAAAACATACATTGTGATAATAAAAGTATTAGAAAAAAAAATCCCATGAATTCAACAATTGGGGAAACAGGTGAGGTCAGGTAAACCAGACAAAAACTGCAATGGACGGGGAATGTATCTTGCACTTGTAGGTTAAGTCAAATAAAGGGTTCTTGATATCCAGCATTATTAACCCCTTAAGTTTTTTTTATACATTGTTTTACCCTGGTGTTTTTTGGGGCAACTTGCAAGTGCCATCCATAACTCCAAAGATATTAATTGAAGCCTCATAAGCACTATTACTATTCCAAATAAAAACAATTATCAGTTACTCATAAGGTACACTTACATATTAGTATGTTCAGATAAGTGACTGTTTTTCTCAGAAAAGCTTTTTTCCCAAATATTTACATTTTTTGGATTATTTTAAATTGTCCTGATTAACAGTAAATTGCTACAACAATTCCTAAAGAGTGCAGCATTGGTTACTTCAGAGAAATATGAAAATGTATAAGAAGATGCTAAAGCAACATTAACATTGAAAAATTATATAATTCTTCCCAATTGGAACTTTACATAAATTGTAATTACGCTATTCATACCACACTGAGTTGATTCAATAGTGTTACACTCATCCCAGTTGGTTGGTGAATTGGAACTTTACATAAATTGTAATTACGCTATTCATACCACACTGAGTTGATTCAATAGTGTTACACTAATGAAAGCCTTGCTGAATATTAGATATTAGTCCATGGTATGGTATGCATTCAGATATTGATAACTACATTTCTTTAGAGGTTGATATTAGAAATTGCCCTTTAATTTCTCAGGGTCTATGAAATTGAGAAGCAAACAGCTGCTCCTGAGAAGTTCCGGTTTCCACATTACGAGACTGTGAGTTGGTATGCAGCAACTAGGCTGGTTACGGAGCTGAGAGACATGGGAGCTGCAGGTACCAGGGTCCCGCCCATCATGATAGCTGGTGCTCGGTCTCTAGCAGCAGCCCTCAGACAGTGGGGTGGAGAGGTGAGCCTGCTTTATATATTCCTTATTAATGGAATATATAAATTTATTTTACTTTGTTGTTGAATCAGGCCAGAAGAAAATAGGTGCAGATGAAGTTCAGTATTTTGATGTTGGTATTTCTTCTTCTAGAATGGGAGGGGAGGACTGGAGCCCGTTCCCCCAGGCATCCAGCCTCTAAAGCTCTTCAAGGACCTGCAGAGAGAGATACGAAGTGCCGAAAAGCAAGTCATTGCCCTGAATCCACCTAAGCCAGAGCGGGAATCAAAACGCAAGAAAAAGAAAGTGCTGGCCGATGACTTTATAGATTACACTAACCTGACCAGTTTTAACAATGTTTTAGAAGAGAGATTACCAGACAAGAAAGTCAAGGTCATGAAAGTCAACTCCCCTCAGGTAGGTTCCTGCTGCTGTATGTTTGAACTAGGGCTGGAATGTTTTATTTATTTATTATTATTTTTTTTTTGACAGAGTTGTTCATTCAGAGATTGTTGATTGTGAATATTGGATGACTGGAAGAAAACAGTGGATTTAAAAAACCTTTTACATTACAGGTAGAACTCAGTAGTTCAGACTTTACAAACCTAACAGAAGATCAGAGAAGAACTCTGAAACTCTCCCTCCCAAAGGCTGCAACATATCCCTATGGATTGAGCTTCACGTCCTCCGACTACGGCATGAGTGGCACCCCGCCCCATGACCCTGAGTATCCACAGTTCAAAAATGAGTACCCAGCAAATGTCAAGTGAGTCTTTGATGTAAATAGCTTGATATAAAGTGATAGATATTTTTTGGTGTATATTTTTATTCAAGGACTTTTTAGTAGTGGATACACTGTTAACATCTTAAATGTTTTATATAAACAGCAATCTTATTATTTCATTTTTCATATATTTAAATTTTCACTGTTTCAGGACTGAGTATGATTGGTCTGACAGTCCAGGTATAACTCCATACAAATTGGTTGAGCCGGGTGGTGTGCGGATGCGTCTGGGGCGCACTGGAAGTACGGACTCTGACGTTCCCTCCACGCCAACATC